ATAGGATACTGCCGGGTGACTTAAATGAAAGGATGCAGGACAAGAGCAGGTGGTATAAACTCCTTCCACAATCTCTCAGTAGGCAATTCAGTTTGGTTTGACCTTAAATTTTAGCAGACTTTGAGCTTTCAGTGGTTGCTCAGGAGCACTGTAAAGACTCACCCTGCTTGCTTGGATTTATACACAGAAAAGACTTTCATGCCACCACCTTCAAGAAACCAAGATAAAAGACCTTGATCGATAGTATGCTGAGCCCTGACAATCTGGGGCACAAACCATACCATAGCTAGGCCCATCACTGTCCCTGCTTTATTCAAGATTAGCACATGACTTTTATTCCATTATTTTAAAAAGAACTTCACATAAAGAACATACCAGCAGTAATTGATAAGAAATCTAAGTTTTACAAAAATCTAAGTTTTACAGACAGAGAAGCAAGTCTGATGATAGCATTACCACGCTGTTTATATCACACAGCTGATCTTTCTAAGAAATTTGTAGAAATTTTTAGAAAATAGTTACAGAATCAAGTGTGTGTGAACTCTACAATGAATCCCTTTGTTAAATTACAAATTTAACACTTTAAGAGCTCAGAAAAAGTCCCTAGCCAGAGAGGTCACAAAACTACATATCTTAGAAATCAAAGGAGCAGCTTCAGATATAGATACTATCCATAACAGACATAGGCACAGAGCTCTCACCAACAGACTATCAGGAAATTACTTAGTATTTTCTAGCTGGTGATTGCTTAATAGGTATGTCACAATTCACTTGCTGTTTGAAAAACATGATGATCCTGGAAGAGGAACATCTGAATATCCATTAGGATGAATGCATGAATGCCAGCAAGAGCCACGGTAGCTGTCCTATGGCATTGTGCATAACTCCGTGATGGTGATGTGAGGACTGTTCTAGTTTCTAAACATCTGCAGTAACATAGCTCTGGATACAGGAATTTGCAACAGTACTCATTAGTGTGTTTGAGTCCACAAGTGAAACTGGCTCTATCCATTCTTCCAAATGATAATAATAATGTTCGGTTAATAGTTGCAGTACACATCTGAAGATGGACATGGCTTCATCTCAGGAGAGCATCAGTCTGTCGTAACACACTAGCACAAAAGCCTTTGGGGAGAAACTGGCTGTTATCACTAAATATCAGTGTTCAAGGCATCTATGCCATTCTAATTGTCCAACTATAGAAAAATGTCCATAGACTTTAAAGGATACTTTCCAAGGAATTAGGGGTTACCAATTCTCTAGAAGGGACAAATGTCAGACTTTTAAATTTTCATCAAACAAGATGTCACCCCAAGCCAGTTACAACTATCTAGAGGTCTACAAAGGTCAAACAGGGAAGTAGACTGTGGAGACCATAAATGTGCTGGAAAGAAGGGGCTAATGCCTAATGTCTGCAGTTAGCTAGGGGAAGGCCTTTGCAAAGTTTAGTCTTACTGAGATAATCAGTGTTTGTGGCCAAGTAGTGCTACTGAAATATACCCAGATAATCACACTTGAAATTTCATCTGAAATGTTTGTTGTTCAAGGCTCAATGTAAAACTTTGCTAAGGTTCACATTGATGGTACAAAATTAGAAGTATCCTCAGCTTAGAAAATAAACTGATAGAAGTTATACATAACTTGGAAACAAGGTATTTGCATTTTTTTAAATGGAAATTTTCAGTTGCTCTTATCATCTGAAAGCTAGGTATATCCATCCCACTCCTACATGCTATGAAGAAATCGCTTCAAGTCTTACTGGTTTATTCTGTTTTTTGTTTGTTTTGTTTTTTGTTTTTGTTTTTGAGACGGAGTCTCGCTCTGAGATCCCCAGGCTTTAGTGCAGTGGCGCGAACTCGGCTCACTGCAAGCTCCGCCTCCTGGGTTCATGCCATTCTCCTGCCTCAGCCTCCCGAGTAGCTGGGACTACAGGCGACCACCACCTCGCCCGGCTAATTTTTTGTATTTTTAGTAGAAACGGGGTTTCACTGTGTTAGCCAGGATGGTCTCGATCTCCTGACCTCATGATCCACCCGCTTCGGCTTCCCAAAGTGCTGGGATTACAGGTGTGTGCCACCATGCCCAGCTGTTTTTCATTTTTTAAAGGGAAGCCATTAAGACTTCACCTATTATCACTTAGCAATGATGACGGGGAAAGTCTTACGTGGACCCAGATGCCTATTTTTTCTTTCCTTTGAACTCAGTGGTTTTATTCTTTTTATATTACAGTAATGACAGAATATAGAATATCTGGTATGAATTTTTTGTACTTGTTTGCCGGCCCTTAGCTTGAATCAGCCAAGGGAAAGGCAGAGCAGGATTTCAAAAGCTCACCTGAGAAAATTCTCTATCCAGTCCTGGGAAACTCATTCAAAATGGACCTCCCCTACCTCTCTTTCCCTTTCTTCCCTCTCTTCTCCATCCAGCAATTTTTACTCTTAGGAAGAAAAGTAAAAGCAAGGCATTCCAGGTCCTTTATTTGGCTGTCATTTCTTCCATCATTATTACCATCTGCAATTTGTTCAGTGTCCCAGAAACTACAGACGTGCTGTCTGTAGGGAATCTCAAGACTCAGGTCTGCACAAAATATTGGGGTTATTGAATCATAGCAATTTCTTCTTATTTAAAAATATTTTAAAGCATCTACTATGGATACTTAGTCCTTTATTTTTTATCTTGTCCTTATTATTTTCTGATCTATCCTTCTCATCAGTATCTTCTTTTTTCTTTTATTCTTGTTTTGATTTTCCTTTGTCCTTTATCATTCTTCCCCCTTTTTCTTTATTTATCTTTCCTTGCATCATTATTCTCTCCTCTGCTTCCTCTGGCTTCTTTTTTTCATGTTCTATTGTTCAATGACCATTACCTTGATTTTCCCTACCCCATTTTCCTATCTCATTTTTACTGATTTCTTCTGTTTTCTGACATTTCTTTATTTACACCATCTCCATTTAAATTTTTCTGCCTCTTCATTCATGCAGTATCCACATTCTTTATTGTAGTTGAGTAAATATTGAACATTTTAAGCAGCTTTATTGAGGTATAATTCATATACCATACAATTCCCCCATTTGAAGTATACTATCCAGTGGCTTTTAGTATAATATTTGCAGAGTTGTGCATCCACCACCACAATGAATTTTCTTAATTTTCTTTTCTTGTCTTTTCTTTCTTTTCTTTTCTTTTTTTTTTTTTTTTGAGATGGAGTTTCACTCTTGTTGCCTAGGCTGGAGGGCAATGGAGCGATCTCAGCTCACTGCCACCTCCGCCTCCCAGGTTCAAGCGATTCTCCTGCCTCAGCCTCCCGAGTAGCTGGGATTACAGGCGCCCACCACCACGCCTGACCAATTTTTGTATTTTTAGTAGAGACAGCAGTTCACCATGTTGGTCAGGCTGGTCTTGAACTCCTGACCTCAAATTATCCACCCGCCTCGGCCTCCCAAAGTGCTGGGATTACAGGCATGAGCTACCACGCCTGGCCCACAATGAATTTTCAATCATTTTCATTGCCTCAAAAAGAAACCCTGCACCCCATAGCCACCACCTCCCCTTCCCCCTAGTTAATTCTCCAGCCCCAGGAAACCACTAATCTACTTTCTGTCTCTACAGATTTGCCTGTTCTGGACATTTCATATAAATAAAATAACGTGTGACCCTTTGTGATTGGCTTCTTTTACTTAGCAGACTCATCAATGTTATGGCAGATATCAGAACTTAATTTCTTTTTTCTGTTATTAATAGAGGCGCGGTTTCACTGTGTTTCCCAGGCTGGTCTCAAACTCCTGGGTTCAATCAATCCTCCCATCTCGGCCTCCAAAAGTGCTGGGATTACAGGCGTGAGCCATTACACTTGGCCTTTTTTTTTTTTTTGACAGGGTCTCACTCTGTCACCCAGACTGGAGTGCAGTATTGTGATCATGACTCACTGCAGCATCTATCTCCTGGCTCAAGAGATCCTCCCACCTCAGCCTCCTGAGTAGTTGGGACTACAGTTGTGCACCACCAGGCCTGGATAATTATTTATTTTTTGTAGAGATGGAGTCTTGCTATGTTACCCAGGCTAGTCTCAAATGCTGGGCTCAAGCAATCTGCCCACCATGGTCTCCCAAAGTGCTGGGATTACAGGCATGAGCCACCACGCCCAGGCCACTTATTTTTTTTGTGGAATAATATTCTACTGTGTAGATCTACCATATTTCATTTAGCCATTCATCAGGTGATGGACATTTGGAGTATTTCTGCTTTTTTGCTATTTATGACTAATGCTGCTATGAACATTCATGCACAGGTTTTTGTGTGGACGTGTATTTCCCCTTCTCTTGGGTATATATCTAGGAGTGGAGCTGCTGGATCACATGGCAGCTCTGTGTTTAACCATTTGAGGAACTGCCAGATTGTTTTCCAAAGTGGCTGCACCATTGCACATTCCCATTAACAGTGTATAAGAGTTCCAATTTCTCCACATTCTTGCAAACACGTTTTATTATCTGTCTTTTTAATTATAGCTCTCCTAGTAGGTATGAAGTGGTATCTCATTATGGTTTTGATTGCATTTCCTTAATGGGGCTACATTAAATATTTCCACTACAAAAGAAATCTTTAAAATGTTTTCCAAGGGCCACAGTACATCGCTGAAAAATTATAACGTTTTAGTGTCTCATACAGAAAGGTTAGGGAATACAGATGAAAGAAAACCTTTGTATTATTAATTTCATGCTCTTAGCCTTTTTTCTAAATCCCAAAGTAAGAAGCAAAGCAGACTAAGGCATAAGAATAAAGTCTAGGAATAAAGAGCCCTAAGTCTAATTTTTTGTTTACTATTTTTGTATCAGTCATTTTTTACCCCTCATTTTTTCTTCTGTTCTTTCTAGACAAATTATACTCCGGATTTTTTTCTTTGAAGATTGTTTGTGGCCCCAAGATTCAACACGGAAATAGGAAATGTTAGAAAAATATATGATGACTGCCCTTGTTCCCCAAGAATAGCAACATGTACTTACTCATCAAAGTTCAGTGTGTTTGTCCAGTTCAGCACTTCATCCACTTCCCATTCCATCACAGAATCTATCCCACCATCTTCAAAAGCTCTTATCAGCCCCTTTGTTGCAGTGTGAATTAGTCCTAGAGTTTCCCGATGTGTTGACTTAGCCTCCAGACTTCCTGAGTAGTACCTACACAGAGGAAAGGGAAAGAGACATAAATCTTCTGAAATAGGAGATAACAAGTAGATACAGGCGATATATATTGTTGTTATTTACATATTAAAACTATTTGCATACTGAATAAAGTTTTCATCCTATATAATTCAGATGCATCTAAACCAAGATCTATGTGATGGGATCTTTTGGGGGAAAAAACACAACTTAATCAACCACACTAACTTCAAATCACCCCTCAATAAGTTGCATTTTTATGATACAAGGAAAAACTAAATTATTAAATTGTTGAATATTAGAATTATAGAGTGGAAAGGGTCTTAGAAACTAAATAACTAACCTACTCAGTTTATAGGTGAGGAAATAAATCTTAGAGGAGTTAAGGAAATTTTACAAAATCAAGGGGCTAATAGCAGATAAAGAAGGAAGGAAAGTGAAAAAAGGAAAGAGAGGAAGAGGTAAAGGGAAAACATATACTATTTTATTTGTGCCAGGTACTTTTCGTACATTCTTATTTAATTCTCTTTAAAAAGACACAGCCAGGCCCGGCGCAGTGGCTCACACCTATAATCCCAGAACTTTGGGAGGCCGAGGCAGGTGGATCACAAAGTCAGGAGTTGGAGACCAGCCTGGCCAACATGGCAAAACCCCGTCTCTACCAAAAATACAAAAATTAGCCGGGTGTGGTGACTGGCCCCTGTAATGCCAGCTACTTGGGAGGCTGAAGCAGGAGAATCGCTTGAACCTCAAAGGCAGAGGTTGCAGTGAGCTGAGATCGTGCCATTGCACTCCACCCTGGGCGACAAGAGCAAGACTCAGTCTCAAAAAAAAAAAAAAAAAAAAGAAAGAAGAAAAGACACAGCCATTTGTGGCAGCTATTTTTAGTCCCCTTTTAGAGATAAAGAAACTGAGACCTGAAGAAGTTAAAATATTGTTCAAGGCCAGGTACAGTGGCTCAAGCCTGTAATTCCAACATTTTGGGAGACTGAGGCAGGAGGATCATTTGAGGCCAGGAGTTTGAGACCAGCCTGGGCTACAGAGAGACCCTCATCTTGATTAATAATTTAAAAAATGTGTAAAGAAATTTTCAAGATCATGTAGCAGTAAATACTTGTGAGAGCCAGTATTCAGACCCTTAGTCTTAAGTTCAGCCTCCTTCTGCAGCACTGCCTGTCTTAAAAGAGCTGAACACATAAAATAACATATTCACTGATAATGAGCTGAGTAACTAGACAGAAGTTAGTAGTCCTTACCGAGATCATCAAAACATTTTTTTGGTGTTTAAGATCTACATTGGTAGCCATTTTAAAGGGTCACCTATTATGAAGTTGTATTTGTGTATTAATTAAACACTCATTGATTAGGAAACAGCATAGTGGTGATATGGAGTAAGACTCTGGTATCAAATTATCTGGATGTGAATCTTGGTTCTGTGTTATATAATCTTTGCTAAATAACCTAGCCTTTCTGGGCCTCACTGACCTCTTCCTTAAAATGGTAATCAGAACCAGGTGTGGTGGCTCATGCCTATAATCCCAGCACTTTGGGAGGGTAAGGCGGAAGGATCACTTGAAGCCAGAAGTTTAAGAATATCCTGGACAACATAGTGAGACCCCATCTCTACAAACAATAAAAAAATTAGCCAGGCACAGTGGCACATGCCTGTAGTCCCAGCTACTGGGGAGGCTTAGGTGGGAGAATTGTTTGAGCCCCGAAGTTCAAGGCTGCAGTCAGCTATGATTGCACTACAGCACTCCAGCTGGGTAACAGAGCGAGGCCTTATCTCTTAAAAAAAAAAAAAAAAAAGTAATCATAACACTACTTCCTCCTAGCATTCTTGAGAGGTTTAGGAGTATAAATCCATATGGGATGGGCACGGATGGTGGCTTATGGCCGCAATCCCAGCACTTCAGGAGACCAAAGCAGGACACTCCCTTGAGCCCAGGAGTTCAAGACCAACCTGGGCAAAATAGGGACAACCTGTCTCTACAATTTTTTTTTTTTTTTTTTTTTTTTTTTTTTTTTTTTTTGAGATGGAGTCTCACTCTGTTACCCAGGCTGGAGTGCAGTGATGTGATCTCAGCTCACTGCAACCTCCGCCTCCTGGGTTCAAGCAATTCTCCTGCGTCAGGCTCCCAAGTAGCTGGGACTACAGGTGTGTGCCACCACGCCCAGCTAATTTTTGTATTTTTAGTAGAGACAGGGTTTTACCATATTGGCCAGGCTGGTCTCGAACTCCTGACCTTGTGATCTGCCCACCTCAGCCTCCCAAAGTGCTGTGATTACAGGTGTGAGTCACTGAGCCCAACCCCCCAAATTTTTTAAAATAATAAAAAAAAAGAAGTGTAAATCTATGTAAAGCATTTAGAACAATGACTGGTACACAGTAAGCTGTGTACCATAGGTTGACATTGTATTGGGTGGTAGGGCTATTAACAGTGAGAAGATACATCCTTGCCCTCATGAAATTTCGACTTCATCAGATTTTAAATGGATAATGATCCATAACAGCAAATGCTCTGTTGCTCAGGCTGGAGTGCAGTGGCAAGATCTTGGCTCACTGTTTCTGCCTCCTGGGTTCAAGCAGTTCTCCTGCCTCAGCCTTCCAAGTAGCTGGGATCACAGGAGCGCACCACCATGCCTGGCTAATTTTTGTATTTTTCATAGAGAGGGGTTTCACCATGTTAGCCAGGCTGGTCTCAAACTCCTGACTTCCAGTGATCTGCCCGCCTCTGCCTCCCAAAAGTGCTAGGATTACAGGCGTGAGCCACTGTGCCTGGCCTCTTATTTTTCTTTTTTCAACAGTGATATATAACAATTCAGATATCTTTTTTCTCTTATTAGGGAAGAATAAAATGCACTCTGTTTTCAAGAGATTCATAATAATTGTTCAAATAATTTAATTCTCAGATTTTGAACTCTTCTAAAATTAGTTACTATTATAATTAAATGGTATATTGATAAAATAACAGGTTTGCAAGCAGCAACAGTGTTTCAAATAGAGTGATCAGAAATAAAAGATCACTTTATAAACATAATTTGTTTTATAAACAAACTAGTGATTTTTTTAAAAGACACAAAATTGGCTGGTGTGGTGGCTCATGCCTGTAATCCCAGAACTTTGAGAGCCCAAGGTGGGCAGATCACTTGAGGTCAGGAGTTTGAGGCTGGCCTGGCCAACATGGTGAAACCCAGGCTCTACTAAAACTACAAAAGTTAGCTGGGTGTGGTGGCATGTAGCTGTAGCCCCAGGTCCTCAGGAGGCTGAGGCAGGAGAATGCTTGAACCCGGAGGTGGAGGTTGCAGTGAGATGGCATGGTGCCAGTGTACTCCAGCCTAGGCAACAGAGCAAGACTCTTTCTGGAAAAAAAAAAAAAAAAGACATAAACTTTGTCTTCATGGGTAATTTTGCAATATATTTTTAGTTGTATTTACTTTAACACGATCTTATATTCTTTCCAAACTAGGAAATTTAGAGGGAAAAAACATTATAAGAAATGTTTGTCTAAATGTCACGACAGAGAGAGAAGTTAAAACAACAAAGACCTAGGAAGAATCAAAGCTTAAGTTGCAAAGGAGGTTGAGGAAAGCTAAGATCTATAGGACACAGGAAGGGACAAGATTTAAAAGCCAGAATTCTTTTAGTAAGATAGGGGGAAAAAAATCAAAATTTTGTTGATTTTGTTCATTACTGATTCTCAGCAACAGTCAGAATGAAGAGTGCTTAAATGCCATAAATGAACAAAGCACACAAAGCAAATTTCTTATTCACTCCCTGCAACTCTATGAAAAGGAAATGGAACATCCTGTCAAAAAAATCATTCATTCATTTATTTATTCTATAAGCAACATATATTCATTAAACATGAACTATGTCTGAGATCCTGTGCTAATAAATGGAACAGAGTCTCTGCTCTGTAGGGACTCAAAGTCTAGTGAAGGTGGCAGACAAATACACAGTTAATTGCAAAAATGTGACCAATGAGTATATAAAACATCCATGGGGCACATCAAAAGGAAGTACCTAATTGTGTCTAGGTGGGTAAGGGAAGGTTTCAGAAGGAGATACTTGGGCCAAGTATCAAAAGATGAAGATGTCGTTGTCATGCAGCTGAGCACTCTAGGGAGAGGAAATATCATGGGGGGTGTAGGTAATGGGGAGCCCTTAACATGTTTTAAGTAAGGAAATTATTTCTTAGAAACAGTGTTTCGGCCGGGCGCCGTGGCTCAAGCCTGTAATCCCAGCACTTTGGGAGGCCGCGATGGGGCGGATCACGAGGTCAGGAGATCGAGGTCATCCTGGCTAACACGGTGAAATCCCGTCTCTACTAAAAAAAAAAAAATACAAAAAACTAGCTGAGCGTGGTGGCGGCGCCTGTAGTCCCAGCTACTCGGGAGGCTGAGGCAGGAGAATGGCGTGAACCCGGGAGGCGGAGCTTACAGTGAGCTGAGATCCGGCCACTGCCCTCCAGCCTGGGCAGCAGAGGGAGACTCCGTCTCAAAAAAAAAAAAAAAAAAAAAAAAAAAAGAAACAGTGTTTCTACAGAGTTCAGTGTGTATACAGAGAAGACGAAGAGACTAGAGACTAGGAAACTAATCAGAAGTTAGATGAAAAATGAGATGTTACAGTGGAGAATGAAAGAAAAGATCAGATTTGGGAGATACTTTGGAAGTGGAATTAATAGGACTTGATGACAGATTACATGTAGGCACTAATAAGAGTGAGAAATCTAGGGTAAGCCCTCTGTTTCTGGGTTGGATGACTGGCTAAATGGTGGTGTCATAAGCTGAGACCAGAAGGAATACTGAGAATAAGCAACTTTTATGATGGGGAAGATCAGAAATTCAGTTTTGGAACTGTTGAGTTTGATACAGAAATGCCCATATAATTAGAAATACAGAGCTCAGCTACAGATGTGGATTGTGTTAAGGTAAACAAACACAGGAAAGAAGTAAAATGCATATTATTTTTCATGCGCACTGAAGAACAATATGCATTTTACTTCTTCTTTCCT